TCTTAGCCATGTTTGACCATGATTTTACGGCCGTAAAATCCTTTGGGCCGTAAACCCATGGTAGTGAACTCATGTTAGTGTCATCTACCTTCCTTTGTTGAATCACATGTGATTCCAACACTTGACCAAAGTGTTTCCTAGTCTCGGAAGGTGTTTCCTTTCATATAGTTTCTTACAAACACTATATTCATGCCAATATGTGTCATTATATATCATTTAGGACTTGTTGTGTCTCGGGACTTCATTCTTGGAACTTCTCATCCTTACACGCATAACCGTTTGAATCACCCACATCAGGTGAGTTCATACCCCCGTATTGAATCTTTTAACTGTTTTAAATGCTTTTAAGGGGGGGGGGGGAATACAAGTTAAACACAATGATAATTGTGTAATAATTTGTTATAAACATCGTTCAAAATGTTGCTTATGTCTTCTATAAGTAGTCAAAACATTTTAAAAACTATTTTACAGTTATGTTGCTTTATAGTTTAGCAAAACTCCATTTTTAAATTATAAACATAACTTGTTAGTAAAATGAGTCTTTTCAATAATAGTTCAAGTAGAATACTAGTAAACTATAATGGGTATAGTTTAGAGAGTCAATTCATACTAGATACAATACGCGATAACATAAGAGAACACACAATAAAGAGAAACAGGGAGGAAGATACAATACACGATAACATAACAAACATAATAAGGTGCTATAGCATGGAACAATTACAAGATCTAACTATACCAATGAATCACTAACACATTGTTCTAAACAAAAGGTGATAGTTATATCGGGTATACATGATCATATAATCATAATGTGGATGTTCAAGGCTTGCAATCATTGCAGGGGTCGCGTTTGGTTCCCCGAATCTTTTGACAGGGAGAGCATTTAGTATAGGATCTAGCTATCACATTATACCTTAATACTCAAATTAAGGCAATTAGTATAATAGTAGTCACTTTATACAATACTACAATACTTATATTTTACAAACGACAAACGGAACAGTCGGGTCTAGTATATACAGTAGATAGGGACCATAATGCTAACCTTATGATTCCTTAATGTATACATTAAGGGATATATATAAATGGTATCCGACATATGATAGGATGTATGCCTTCGGCTTTATTTCATGTTTCTCGTTGGGTTGTGGGCTTAGAGCAGATTCACCCAACCTAGTATCTATTCGATTTTAGTTATATATATGTTCTGTACACATTAAGTCATCATAAGGGGTACCAGGTATGGGTCAGGTCATAGGACACAAATTTAATGCACAGTTTTCTAGTATAAAGCATACTTTTCAAATCATACCTTTCAGTACACAAAACTAGAAACTTCCCAGTAAAGGGTTTAATCCATTTTATTAAACAAGTGTAGACTTGAAGGACTTTAGGTGATTGACTCTATAAACCTAGTTGATCATTACTAGCACGTGACTTGAGGTTTATAACCTGTCATACTCTTATTTATGTGCCATTCCAGTTAAGTTAATTATGCATGTGAGTTCTATGAGTTCTCATTTGAAGGAATAAAGACAATGCACCTTGATCAATGGAAAGTACATTGATATGTAGGGGTGAATTGCTTGGAAGACATGGTGGGAATTCATGCTACCATGAGGCAAGGAATCAAAATTGAACAAGTTCAGTCCATATGAGCTTGAATTTGTCGCAAACCTTGGTTTTGGTAAAATTCATATGGATAGGAACACATACACTATAAAATCTAAGTGACATAATGTTTCCCTTCTTCTTGAAAATGATTGTGAGAAAATGATTTCACTAAGAGAGATATTAAGGAGATATCAGTTGTGTAAATTGTATTCTCAAATTTGGTTATGATTTCGACATCCCTCTTCATAGTTCGAAATGTGAGATTTGGCAATTAGTCTGAACAGTTGGGACTTAGTAACATAAGTTATGAATTTGTTTAGAAACATTTTTAAGATTTCTAAGGCAAAGGTGTATGAAGTTAAGAAGCTTAGATAAAGGCTTATCAAAGCATCAAGTATTAGAAATATGAACTTAAGGGATTCAATAAGCATGTTTAGCTTGTATTGATATTTCCTTTGGTTAGCTAAGACCATGTGGGGGTTCCCATGACAGTTAATGAAGACCATGTGGTGGTTCCCATGGTAGGTAGTTAAGACCATGTGGGGGTTCCCATGATAGTGGATTAAGACCATGTGGGGGTTTTAGTGGCACCCGGTGTAAGATCTTGGAGGGTTTCCATGGCATCTTTATATGTTTATATGCATAGCTTATGTAGCTTATATGGCTAATATGGTTTATGTGATTATATGGATTTGGTGGGTTATGTTATGGGGAACTCACTAAGCGTTAGCTTACAGTTTGTTGGTTGTTTCAGGTACTTCAAGATCTAAGGGCAAGAGCCCGGCGTGATAACGCAACATGTACTCTCTGGCGTTTTTATTGGGGACACTCTGATATTATGAATAAATTGTCTGATGTTATGGATTTTGAAAACAAATGTGATTGGAATTTTATATCTTATAGAAAGGATTTCGTTACTTAAAAATGAAAATTTTTATTGGAAATTTGGGATGTTACATCATATCATTGTTTAACGTCGATCATACTAGCGAATCTCCAAAAGCATTTTGAAATTAAATATTTTTAATGTTATTTGAACAATTTATTTATATTTATGAATTGAGAATGTGCTTTTGTTATACTTATGAAGTTTTATTTTTGTATGGAACTAATTTAAGAGGTATAACATTTAATTAATTAATTAATTAATTTGATTATAAATAAGTCCTAAGTTTAACTCATTTATTTAATAGGTTGGACAACCCGGTGACAACCCATTTATATAAAAAGTTGGGATGGATTGAAAATATCAAACCCATTTAAATAAATAGGTTTAGTTGGGTTGACATGATCAATCTTCTCTAATAAATGAATGTTTTTTTGTTATCTGTCAAATTCTCAACAGTTTTGTTACATGTAATTTTGTGAGAGTTTTAGAATTATTATTTTCCACTTGTTATTTTTTGGGAATTTCCATTTTTTAAAATAAAATTCCATAAAATTTTAACGAGTTTTATAAGGAAAGAAAAACATTCTATTAATATGATAATAAAGTCTCATAAATGCTTTAAAGAATATTTGATTTTTTTTATAAATGTTCCAAAAGAGTACATTATGTTATGTAAAAGTGTTATTTTATAAAATATTTAATGTTTAAATATTGATATTAAATTTTTATTTTTAATAAACCTGTGTAGTACACGGGTCTCACACCTAGGCTGTGTTTGGCATTCCATAGCTAGCTGATAAGTCAACTTATTTTTCGAGCTTTTTTATATTATCATGTTTGGTAAACCAAAAAGTAGATTATAAGCTAGCTTTTAGAAAAGCTACTTAGATTGTGTTTGGCGCGTCACAGCTAGCTTATTTTTCGAGTTTTTTTAAGTTGTCATATTTGACAAGCCAAAAAGTAGCTTATAAGTTAGCTTTTTAAAAAATCAACTTAGGCTATGTTTGACGTACTAGCTGAAAAGCTAGCTGTTAGTTGAAAAACTGGCTGATAGTTGAAAAGCTAGCTGTTAAATAAAAAATTAGTTGATAAAAAATGACGTTCGATAAACTAGCTGAAATATATGAAATTACATAAAAGGACATGTAAGAGTATTTGTTTCTATAATTAATTAAGGGGTATATTTGGAAATTTTTAAAAAAGTTCCTAAAAAGCTAGTCTAAGTAACATTTAAAAAAGATTGTTTATAAGTTACTTTTTGGCTTACCAAGCACGACAATATAAAAAAGCTCGAAAAATATGCTAGCTTATTAGCTAGCTGTGGCGCGACAAACACAGCCTTAGACTAGCGTTTTAGGATTTTTTTTTTAAATTTCCAAATATACCCCTTAATTAATTATAAAAACATATTTTTTTAAATGTCATTTTATGTCATTTCATAGTTTTCAGTCAGGTTTTCAGCTAGTTTTACCAAACGTTATTTTTTATCACTTAGCTTTTTAGCTTACAACTAGTACACCAAATATAGCCTTAGACTAGTTTTTTAGGAGTCTTTTTTTTTTTTAATTGCAAACACACTCCTTATTTAATTATAGAAATTCATACTCTTACATGTTCTTTTATGTAATTTTATATATTTCAGCTAATTTTACCAAACGCCATTTTTTATCAGTTAGTTTTTCAGCTATCAACTAGTTTTTTATTTAACAGCTACCTTTTAGCTAATAATTAGCTTTTCAGCTAGTATGCCAAACATAATCTTAATCCAATTATTAAATAAGTCAATCCAAATCCAACACAGATTGACACGATCTATCGCCGATAACTCCTTTCCATTTTTGCATGAGTCCGTGCTCCTTATAAATAAATAACATAATAAGGAAAAAACATAAGAGTTTGCCATTAAAAATGGTACTGATTTTACATGATACATAACAATTTATGTTGTAGATAGTTTTAGATAATTATAATGTAAAAATATGTAAACACAATTTATTAAGTATGGTTAAAAATTATTATGGACGTATCATTATCCACTCAAAATAAATAAAATAATCTACTATAATAAATGAAGGTTTTTTTTGCCACATATCCTCCTCTTATTCATTTTGACACATGATATTTTTTCAAATTTTTAAAATTTCTATTTTCCACTTGTCATTTTATTGTATTTTTTATTTTATTAAATTAAAATTCTATATTTAATGTGTAACGTAATATATATGTAAAGTATTTATTAGAAAGAGTTTATATATGTAATTTATTCAATACATTAAAGTTTCATTAATTTTAATAATTCAAATTTTTTTAATTTTCTTATAAATTCAAACTTTTTATATTGTTATAATTTTATATTTGTTTTTTTTTTAAATTAAAAAGTAAGTAAAAATATACAAGAAAAATTGTGAAACCAAAATTCGTACAGCTCACCTCTCACATGTCACGTGTGTAGGCCACTATAAAAGCTGGCCGAGTTGGTTCGTTCAATGCTCTACCCAACGCAAACGTACCACGCCTGCCTCGAGAGAAAGAGAGAGAAAGAAGGAAGGGCTCGTCTGCGAGCTCTTAAGTACTGCAAGTTCTTAGCCGTTCGCTTTCATGGAGCTTGAATTACCGCCGGTGATTCATGAGAACTATCATCTTCTTGTTTCCGCCGTTGCATTGTTGTTCGGTATCGTTTCGTTGTACGGCTTGAGGTCGAATCTAAAAACGCGTCGTAAATCGAAGGAGATCTGGCGGAAATCTAGTAACAACTCCGGCAACGATGGATTGCAGTCGCCGGAGACTGATGGAAGCACTGACGTAATTATTGTTGGAGCAGGTGTTGCCGGTGCTGCTCTCGCTTGTACTCTTGCAAAGGTGCGCAATTCTAATCGGTTCTCTCTATTCTAACAGAAACATCTTTGCTTCTACGGTTCTGGTTAGGTATACGTCGCTCAATTAACGATTTCAAACATAAGGATCGTTTTTCAACAAAATCACGCTCAATTAATCTTCGATTTCAATTACAGAGTTACACTGTTTTGGTTTTCAGATTCACCGCTTCTATATGTGTGGTTTGTTTATGGCATGACGATTTTTTTAGTATTACTATTACTCTTTCATATTCATCCAAAATAATAACATAATATCTGTATCGCACTGGTATTTGGATAGATTTTCACGCTAATTCGTCGCTGGAATTGATTCTTTTCATTTTTTTGAACAAACTTAAATCTTCGGTTTTCTTTCAATTTTCCCACTTGCAGTAGATATGTACAGAATAAATATTGAGAACTTTCAACATCAGATAGTTTTGGGGTAAATGCTGGGCTATAAATTCTCGATAGACACTCCAATCTTTTATGATAAGTTATATTATATCTTCTTTAATCCTTTTTCAGATTAATTGTTACCTACCCTATTCTGAAAATGTAATTACCAAAAGGAAAATAGTTTTTAACAAAATAAGCGAATATAGGAACAGATGTACTACTTTTTATAATCAAATTAATGCAATTAAATATCTAATTCCCGTAAACCGCAAACAAAAAGATTTTAAAAATCCAGAAGCCTAAACCCTGCGGTGTGGCAATCTTGATCACCACCAAACTTCTTTCTGGATGCCTAATGAATCGCATTGTCATGCCATCATAAATCAGCTTCACACAACTTGCCAATCGTTACTTTTTTATGAGAAAAAGGCAAAAGTTGTTAGGAAAGAAAACCAGTTTGATCTTACTTTGCCTGTTTTGTTTAAAATAAAACAGGATGGACGTCGAGTTCATGTCATTGAAAGGGACTTAACTGAACCAGATCGAATAGTAGGTGAACTTCTACAACCAGGAGGCTATTTAAAATTGATCGAGTTGGGTCTTGAGGGTAATAATTAAGATTCCACTTTCTTTTCATTATCCTTAATAAACTCCAACAATCTTAAATCCCAAAATGAAAAACTCATATACTTTTTTTGCAGATTGTGTCGATGGAATCGAGGCACAACAAGTTTTCGGTTATGCGATTTACATGAATGGTAAAAACACCAAACTCTCATACCCTTTGGAAAAATTCGATTCTGATATATCCGGAAGAAGCTTTCACAATGGTCGTTTTATTCAACGAATGAGGGAAAAAGCCGCAACTCTTCCAAAGTAAACTTTCTAATTTCCATCCACTAACTCAAAAGTCAAAAAATTCCATTATTAAATTTACTAATTCTAATTAACCCCTTAATTTTACTTAACAGTGTCAAATTGGAACAAGGGACTGTAACTTCATTGCTTGAAAAAGAAGGAACAGTCCAAGGTGTTTGTTACAAAACCAAAGACGGTCAAACGTTGACTGCATACGCACCTCTCACCATTGTTTGCGATGGTTGCTTTTCAAATCTACGCCGCTCCCTCTGCAAGCCCAAGGTATATACATATTTAATTATTTATTCAATATCCGTACTACTGATTAATTATATTATATTGTATGTGATTCTTTATAATTTAATATCTTTTTTTTTTTTTCTTTCTCGAAATAGGTGGAAGTGCCTTCTTGCTTTGTGGGTCTTGTGTTAGAGAACATCGATCTTCCATACGCAAATCACGGACATGTTATTCTCGCTGACCCTTCACCGATTTTATTTTACCCAATTAGCAACACCGAGGTTCGTTGTTTAGTCGATGTCCCGGGTCAAAAAGTACCTTCCATTTCAAACGGTGAAATGGCCAACTACCTAAAAACCGTAGTGGCCCCACAGGTATCAAGTTAATCCAGAGGTTATATTATTGGGCCAGTCTGTAACTTTGTTTTATACAGTATCTGATCTAAATATATAAAATTTCAGATTCCACCGGAGCTATATAATGCTTTTGTAGCAGCGGTCGATAAAGGAAACATCAGAACAATGCCAAACCGAAGCATGCCGGCTGACCCGCAGCCCACTCCAGGCGCGCTTTTAATGGGCGACGCGTTTAACATGCGACACCCGTTGACCGGTGGAGGAATGACAGTCGCTTTATCAGACATCGTCTTGCTTCGTGACCTTCTTAGACCATTAAGAAACCTCAACGATGCACCTATGCTTTGTCATTATCTTGAATCCTTCTACACGCTTAGAAAGGCAAGTCATTTAGCAGACAACTGTGTACCTAACAGTGCGGGTCAGCTCAGGGTTGTTAGAATAATAATAATTTTTTTTTTGTTTTTGTGTTTGCAGCCGGTGTCGTCTACCATAAATACATTAGCGGGTGCACTTTACAAGGTATTCTGCGCATCACCTGATCCCGCAAGGAAAGAAATGCGTAACGCGTGTTTTGATTATTTGAGCCTTGGAGGGATTTATTCAGAAGGACCGATTTCGTTACTTTCGGGGCTTAACCCGCGTCCGCTCATCCTATTTCTACATTTCTTCGCGGTGGCTATATACGGTGTTGGCCGTTTGCTTATCCCGTTTCCTACACCAAAACGATTATGGCTCGGGGCTAGACTCATCATGGTTAGCATTGTTATAGCTGTTTTTGAATTTATATATAGTTGAGGGACTGTTTGTGTAACATTTTGTGATTTGCAGGGTGCGTCTGGGATCATATTCCCGATCATTAGGTCTGAAGGTGTTAGGCCGATGTTCTTCCCTGCGACAGTTCCAGCGTACTACAGGACTCCACGTGTTGCTTGATTCAAATATTGTTGTTCGGTTAGATCATCATCTTTACCGATCTTGTTATTTGTTTTTTGAAATGTAATATATAGTTTTGTCATGTAACAAAATATTGTTTGTAAAGAAAGGACCCAAACAATAACAATGGTTTAAAATAAGGGGAGAGTTGATTCTCTTTTTCACGTTTACTGTGTGTTGAAACTTGAAAGGAGAGTGACGTCATTAGGTTCAATGTAGTAATAGGGTAGAAGTAGAATCGTGGGAAATTGGGAACCAATATCTTTTTTCCCCAACTTAGATATGAATGTTGATGTCACCGATTTTCTCGTGACAGCTTTAAATATATAGTTGCAACTGTACTCAACCTAACCTCCCAGATGATATAGATGCAAATTAAATGAGGGCCTACCAAAATTGTCTCCCTTTTTAAAAAATAAAGAAGAAGAAGAGGTAAATCAATCTTTAAAAACCTGCAGGTTTTTATTTAAAAAAAAAAAAAGAAGAGGAAGAAGAGGTAAATCAAAGTAATAAGAGAATTATTTGATTCAAAATTTTGAAACTTAAAGTATACAAATTTCGTACCAAATAAAAGAAATATAACTAATTAAGATAATTAATTTTTCGGTTTGTTCATGTCTGGATAACTAATTTTTTTTAGCACATATAAATAACAAATTTGTTAGAAGTGTTCATATATGGCTAGGTCTGGCAATCGTATCGTGTTCGGGTTGGCGGGTCAAAATATGTCAATCCAAACACGACCCATTTAAATATACAGGTCACGTGTTGGCGGGTTGGAACATAAACTTATATATGACTCACCAATTCATTTATTTATATGGTTTCACAGGTTGGCTGGTTCATGGCTCGGATTTGGATTCATGGATCAAATTCCATAAATAAAAATGATAATTAAATATGAATAAATTCTTGATGGTTGCTGCAAACATATCCGAACTTTCGACTCTTAATTCTTAAACATTCAAATGAAAATTAAAAACATTTGTAGAAACATGTTCAAACTAAACATTAATACAAACTTAGATAATTCAAGTGCTAAAATAATAGCCATAATTTCCATTTTATCTCCTAAAAAACAAAGTCAATTCTCTAACACCATTTCGATACCTGATTTCGATCACAAAGTAATAGAGCGGAGAGTGGCAATGTGGGAGACTGGACGTCTGGAAGAAGGAGATACGCTCAATTATAAACACCTCATAAACTTTTTATATATATAAGCTAATAAACACTTTTACAATAAAAATATAAATTATTTTACATAAATAATCCTGAACAACCCATAAACTTTGTTTGATACTTATATAAGCTAATAAACATTTTTACAATAAAAATATAAATTGCTTTACATAAACAATCCCAAACACGCCCTTAATATGACATAATTTATATACTCAGTTATACTATTGCAACATTGTTTATAATCATAAATAAAAATATAATTACAAAACAAAGCTGCTTGACAATTCAACGTAAAATTATGGATACATTTCATGAATTTAAGTTAGTCAATTGGATGTTTTGAACACGCCCATTGGATTCTCTTGTCTCGCTCCACTTCCTACCAAACACGAGGGATGAAACCGTTTAAAGCCTCAAAACAGACGAACAAAAACAAGCATTTAATATTGGATGATTGCTGCATTATGTTTGTGCAAAGTGCAAACCACATGATTTTAAGATATCTTAATAGATAATAAATAAATAAATAAATAAAAGAAGAAAAAACATTAACTCACACGACTTTGAAAATTTTCAAGCTTGAGAACATATTTAATCATACGGACTCATATTTATCACCATATATAAAGGTGGAATAATAGTGATATCTTGTTATGAAACACTGCAAAATGAAATTGATCAAGTTCAAATTTGACCTACTTCAATTTTGGAATAGCCTGCAATGTGTCGCAATTGCAACTGTAAATCCAAATTTATCATATGTATCCAAATTTTGACAATTTGAACAATAGCTTGGAGACTGAGAAGTGAGAAGCCTCCCAAGATACAACGATCTAATGAAACATACAACACCACATCAGTTAAATATTTTGACAATTTAAACTATAGTGACTTCTTTTATGATCTTTTTGATGATTATGTAGTGATTTACACTTATATTTGTATTGTTGATTGGCTGTATGCTAACTTTTTTGGATTATTTGTTGTCAAGAGTGTCTTAGGGGATAATATAAAAACATTGTGATGTGTGGTGGAAAAAAGATCATGTATATATGGAAAAGTTTCGTGAAAGAAAGCAAGACTTTTTTATTAAGTTGTTTAGGTTACTTACGGAAAGGCTCGACTTCTACTTGTTAAGTCTGATACATATATTTTGAGCTGGTATGATTTTCCGTAAAGTGTAATAAAAACATGTAGTTCGTAATTGTAACACTTGGGGCTTTCATCTTAAAAACCTTTAAGTTTTTCCAAAAAAAAAAAAAAAAAAAAAAACGGTTTTACTTATGTCAATTTTTATGTTCATTAATATTTGAACTTTATACGTTACAATGAAATAACATTAACAGGAAAACCTTTAAAATTGCATTTTTTTTTATTTTATGTTTTTGCCCCATATATATATATATATATATATATATATATATATATATATATATATATATATATATATATATATATATATATATATATATATATATACTAGTTTATAACCCGTGGGAACCACGGTTATAAAATTAACCAAATTTTTATAGTAAAAACTCAAAATTATTAATAAGTTATTTAAATAAATTATTAATCTAAGAGATATTTTTTATTAGTTATGTGAAATTATAATCATTGATTCAAATAAATATATAAAATTAATTTTTAATATATATTAGATATTTTTATTTGTGAATTAACGAAAACAATAATTTAAAATTAAAAATTCAAAATAAAATCATATTAATGAGAAGGTCTAATAAATTTAAAATGGAAAACTAATAGATTGATAAGTGGCAACAGATTAATTAAAATGTGACACATGGCAAAATAGCTACTTTTTTATTAGTATATATATATATATATATATATATATATATATATATATATATATATATATATATATATATATATATATATATATATATATATATATAAGGGTTATATGGAAAACAAAAAAACCCTAAAAATGCATAAAAAAAATACTTAGAGATCACAATTTTTTTTTTTGACATTTTTTTACCAAAAAATCGCATGTTTATTTACAAAATCGCTGAAAAAAAAATCGATTTTTTTTTGGTTATTTTTTTTTTTCAAAAAACATTTCAGCGAAAATAAAGAAAAAGCTGCGAAATTTCATAATATAAAATCAAAAAAAGAAAGATTTGTGATGTCTAAGTATTTTTTTTATACATTTTTATGATTTTTAGGGTTTTTTTAGGATTTCTTGTTTTCCATAGAACCTAAACCTATAAACCTATATATATATATATATATATATATATATATATATATATATATATATATATATATATATATATATATATATAAAGAGAGAGAGGCAGAAAAGTTATAATGTGGATGATATCTATTGTGTGATCGTATCAACAATTCTAAACCAATAATTTTGGGTAAATAAATGTTTTCTGAAATTCTTTTAGAATATAAAATAAAAATTATGGATTCAAATTTAAAATTATTTTAGGGGTAATATGGACTTTGTATGTATCCTAATTTTAGGCAACTAATTAGTCAGATTCGTAAATTTAGGAAACTTATTCAAATCAAATTAATTATATTAATTTTTTTTATCTATGATACTTAAAGAATACTTGTATATTCTTTCAAAATTCAGAATTAGTGAGAAGACAAAATTCTAATTTAGAAATTTATAATTAAATGTTTTTGTCACTATATTATCCACACCAAAATCAGAATATCAAATTGAAGAACATTCTTAATGAATATTATTAATATTCTTTAAAATAAAACAAATTCCTAAGAGAATTATAACAACAACAAATAGAATAATGAATCATTACTGCAACAACAAAGAATAATGAAGAATAAAAACCATTAATCTTTTTAGAAAACTACATCAAAAGAATTAGTGTTCTTAAATAATGACAATATTCTTATAGAATGTGATGTATTCTTTAAAAGAATGTGAGGTATTCTTAAAGAATGTATAACATATTCTTGTCGTATGCCTCCTCAAGATGTAAAATGCCTAGGAGAATAAATTTGATCTTCTTAAGTGGTCTATATAATTTGCTTTATCTTCTTCTCTTTGAAATAAATAATGATTGTTACAAGAATTCCAGCAGAATGTACATTGCATGAAACAATTTCTTCTCAATGCATCATCTATGCCATACGTGAGACAACCTAGAATCTCCATGATTAGCAAGGAAGCCCGTCTGAAAGATAAACATAACGAAGATCCATTAAATATTGAAATTATATTATGTCAACTATGAACTATTGATGAGGAATATAGTGGTTACGTTTACCTCCACTTAGACTCTCACGCACGAAAAAAACACACAAAAGCTGTAACATACACATTTTGAAATTGTGTTTTGTAACTTTTAAAACTGAATAATATTATATAATTTTGAGTATTGAGTTCTAACGGATAATTTTTACTAGAAATGAAGTAAAACTATGTTTAAAATCACTCGGAAAATATTGGATGTCTTATGAGATTCCAATCAATAGTTGAATATTGAAATTTAATGAAAATATAAAATTTGAAATAAATAAACTTTTATTATTGAAAATTATAAAGAATCTCATTAGAAATAATTAGATGAAAACCTCATCGAAATCCGAGTTATAACGAAGAAGTATGACTATTTGAAGTTTCGCGAAAGAACCAGCACGACACCGAATGACATAAAACGTGAGTTTTTGATAAACTTTGTTTTAGCCTTGGTGATCTAAATGAAATTCGTAGTATTTGTTAAACCGAGAATTTTCATAAAAAGAACATCCAAATCTGACTTCGTATGACGAAATTATGATTTTTCTAAGTTTCGGAATAGCAGTAGACAGCTAAAAACTCGAAATAAAGATCGAGTGATTTTTAGCCGACACAATCTAAACGAGAATCAAAGGTCTCGTCAATAGTAGTACAACGGTAAAAAAAGACAAACGAAAACGGGCGTCGGATTAAGAAGTTATGAATTTTTAATGAATTTTCCTATCCCGGTCTGTTAAAAATAATAATATTAAAAATAAAGTCAAAATTAGCCAACGAAGTCTAAACCAAAGTTGTAGAGTAAATTCCTATATATATATATATATATATATATATATATATATATATATATATATATATATATATATATATATATATATATATATATATATATATTATATATATATATATATATATATATATATATATATATATATACAGAGAGAGAGAGAGAGAGAGAGAGAATCCATTAGGACCAATATTTTTTTTAGGATTAATATGATCACTTTTTTAATGTTGATTTTAGAGTTTATCTTATTTCAAAAATAAATAAATAAAAAGATGTAAATTCATCATTTTCAACATCTTTCCATATTGATATTTGAAAAAAATTAACATGAGCATCATACATATATTATTTGAAAAAACATTTTTAGTGTTTATTTTCTATCGAAAAAAATGTAAATTCATCATCTATTAACATTTACACATACGTATATTATTTTTTTGCATAAAGCATAAAATATGGACCATATGCACATATGTAGAAAACGTTTGTTTTGAATATATATATATATATATATATATATATATATATATATATATATATATATATATATATATATATATATATATATATATATATATATATATATATATTTCTAAAAGGTCACCTTCTATATTAATGTTCTAACTTATTAAGATGGTTTTAATTTATATATTAATGTGCAT